TATTCCGACTTGACCTAGCTCTGAGGTCGGGATTCGGGCATTCCTGTAACCAGTACCAATGCTGAAAATCGTTCAATATATGTACTACTACTACTACTACTACTACTACTACTACTACTACTACTACTACTACTACTACTACTACTAACGTAATGCCAGCCAGGAAACAAAAGCCACATTCACGACGTCAAATAAATCTTCTCATTGAAATTTAAAAGTTAAAGTACACTTTGCAAAACCGTATTGATGGCAGATTATTATTGTACAATTCATTGTGCAAGTAGTAGGTATATTGAAAGTCCGTCATCAATTACGCCTGAAATAACAGTTACAAGACTAAATGGTACGCACTCGAAAGATATGTGTGACTTTTAGTTGTAGTTCTTTTGTACCTGTAGCATAGAATAGGTTCCAGATCTAACTCGCATCTTCGAGAACAAAAGTTCGCGGATTGGCGTAAGGGCTGTTCCTCGAGCAGTTCTCTTCTCAGCAATGATTGAATTTCTTTACGAGTTGCAATATGCAGCATCCGCTGATCGATGACTTTATCTTCGATTGGTAGCAGCCACAGGCATTTGCTGGAAACGGCTGCGCATGAATAAGAGCACGACGGCGGTCATAGCAGCAAGAAGGACGGCGAAGGAGGTCAGGAATTCATATCCAAATTTGGCTACTGAGTTTATTTTTTTGGGGTTCCTGTCGATGCCTTCGCAATTTAAGGACTGGATGCAGTGGCTGGTGCATTGTATTTTAAGCCTTACCCACTGCACTAGGCCTCACAGGACGTGGGCCGAGCGGGTATAGACGAGTTATAAATAGCTGAGGACGAATTGACCCTTTCAGAGTAGTGATAAGTAAGGCAGTTTGAGTTCTACTTCGGAACAAGCAAGCAATAGACCAAGGCTAACGGAAGCGCCAGCTTTCCTCCTGTGTGTTCGAGTTTCGACCTACTATGCTGGAGAGTCTCGTTCCATGTATCAATTTGGCACTTCACATCCGAATAGGGCATCATAGTTATCATGTCGAAAAAAGTTGTTACGTTATGGAGGTTGAGGGATGAACAGAGGATCACATGTGACCTCGGCTGAACAAGAACCGTTGCTTGCTCCGGCGTCTTTTTCGGACACTTTATACTCATTCTATTGTTAGTTATGATCACATGTAGTATTAGTTATGCTGTGGAAAGAATTGTTTTTTTTGTCAGAAACCAGCAGAAGGTTGTAGATTGTTTATATCACGTCTACGGGTATGGGGAAAATGTGGTTCGTTGGGGTTACGGGCCAAAGTCATGGGACGCTTTGCTTGAGGAGCAAGGTGCCGAATGGTAGCCCTAGAGATAATTGGGCGTGTACAAATCTATCTGCTGTACTTGCTAGTTTGGCGGGGATGAGCGCGAGTCGTGACGCTCTGGACTTGTTGAGCCTTGACGTCGCGTCACCAGAACCACAATAAACCACTGCAGCGGTAGCACACTGGGCAACGGTCGTTTGCTGCTCGAAATAGCCGACGGATTTTCTAGACGAGAAGTCTTGTCGGTTGTGTCGATGATGTTTTCTAGTAGGCTGCTTCGCCGGCTGATCTGTGGACAAGCGTTCTGACTCCTGGAAATAACACTATCCATCGCTCCACTTGCTACGGTCCTTTGGCTAGGATAATGCACCTTTGGGAGAATGTTGTGTGTCGCTTATAAAGCTGCAACCCCTCTAGTACACGTCAATACACGCCATCCGGATTGCTGCCTTCAGCTATGCCGAAAGCACAAAGGAGGTGGAAACATTCGGGTAACACAAACCTGGGTGACCACTATAGTAAATGCTTGGTCAAATAAGGCTACTTCAAACAATTGTACTGGTCGGCTGTCCTGGGCCCCAGTGAAAGTTATATAGTTACTAAAACCGGGTATCAATTAATGTACACACTAGAGAAGCGAGTACAATACGACGTGGGATTAAGCTTATTTCCGCTACAAAAAAGATGGAAACCGATACATAGGAATACCATGTGATACAATCAGATGATGCGGACGCTCAATCTTAGCAAACCGGCTGGTGGTATCTTACTATAATTATTCGAAACAACAACTAGCAGTTGCTCAATGTAACCACCCACGCTTATAAACGACCCTTCCCACACACCACAAAAAACGACCCTCCTCACACATCACAGTTGTATTGGCCCACCACTATTATCGGAGTGCCTCTGTCCTGATGAGCGACGACGCTGTTGAGGCAACAGCAAGAGTGTCGGGAAAAGCTAGACCGATCTATGAGGAAATATCAACTCATGCATCTGAAGAGGACGCCATAACAGCTCTTCACTGTACGGATTCATCTGAATACAAGTATCTTCGGACTTACGGAAAGCCTCCGAGGCGTGTCAGTTTGTATCACTGCATCTCGCATGCCTCCTGTGAGCGAAGGATCAGAATTGTCAAGCGTACAGACTTCTCTGCTGTAGGAGCGGTTGCTTCAACTGCTTTTGTTGTAGAGGAGCACGGAGAGCATGAGGGCGAAGTCACCCATCGCAAGCGCTCTGGGATAGACATGTCCTTGAAGCCAGAAGTCGATAGTATGCTTAGAGGAGGTGCGGGGCCCAAACACATTCGACTGCTTTTGTTGAAAAAGTATAAGAAGGACAAAGTGAAGCAGGCGAAGATCCCGGACGAGATAATGCTCAAAACCCGCAAGGCTTCGCTGAAAAAAAGCAGTAAAAATGCTTGGGGAATTTCGAATTTCACTGTCATGATGGAGTGGGCAAGTCCGCGGATGTGCACTGATCCTGGCGTTTTCTCGGTTGGATGGGAGGCTTTGATGTTCAGAACGACAAACGTACATTTGACGAAAAAGACTTGGAATTTCAGAATGACCTAATTATTTTGAATACGTTCGACCACACTTTCACCGACGAGGATGGAAAAGAAGCTACTTCGTTTGGTTTCATTTTTACGTCAAGGCGCATCTTTCACAATGTGGACTACTCGGTGGCGGCACAAAATACCGACGGAGTTGTCGGTTTGACCGACGGCACATATCGAATCGATTTCAGTATGTGTTTCTCTTTTTTTTTTCTTATATGTAGCGTTTTCTTTTTATTTTTCTAACTTAACTTCTCCAAATGTCTTGTAGATCGGTGGACACTGATCTGTCTCGGGACGACTTGTGGTGTCTACGACAACCGTACCTACAGACGATCCTTCGTACCGTGGGTGTATATGTTCGTACGAACCGAACACGAGTACGCTTACAAACCATGTTCACAACCACGGTGGATTTCGCTGCAAAATACTTTGACTGCACGTTGACATTGAA